AGTGAGCTCAGACTTGGCAGTAAACTGACATTTTACCCATACTGACAAAGTGACCACATATGAAGCGGATGAGTTGCTGTGAGTGACAGGCCATTGTTAGTTAGCTTGCTTTCTTTAGACATTCGGTGGAGTGTGCGTTTGGCATCATACTCCCTGACCCACTTTCCGCTCTAGCCAATAAAGCAATCCAGTCATCAACAACCATGACGCAGGCAGTTCCACTCCATCCACACGGCCAAGATCCTTTGAGTCGGAGCTTAAATGTTTTCCTGCTCTTGAAGAACAACACTTTAGAAAGACATACAGCTCAGATCATCGAAACTCTGGTTACTGTTTGGCATCAAAGGAGGGGAAAATCGTGTTAGTCTATGGCTTCAGTGGAGTGGGAGATCTCCAATGTCATAATGAGAACACCAATGGGGTTGCAATGCACAAAAGCTTCTTTATAGTGGAAAAAGGATCTTTAAGACACTGGCCCATCAGTGGGCCCACTTGTTATTACATGTTTATAACAGCATGTCTAAACCTGATGTAATCTTGACAAGCTATGCACAGTGCCCTCCACTAATATTGGCACCATTGGTAAATGGTGAAAAAATGTCTTTATTGTTTAACCTATTGATCTTTTGCTAAAAAACCCCCGAAAAAAAAACCTCTGCTGTCATTGTCAATGACAGTTTTATCAAATTACAAATGTCTTTGTTAAATATATGTGTGCCACAATTATTGGCACCCTTTTAGTCAGTACTTTGTGCTGCCAAGATAACAGCACTCAGTTTTCTCCCATAATGGCTGATGAGGTAACCCATTTTTGTGTTAATTTTGATGTATGTTTTGGATCATTGTCCTGCTGGAAGATCCAGCCATGACCCATTTTAAGCTGTCTGGCAGAGGCAATCAGGTGTTCATTTAGTATCTGTTGATATTGATCATTGGTAGACTCCACGATGCCATGTATCCTAACAAGATGTCCAGGTCCTTCCTCTGGCAGAAAAACAACCCCAAAACATTAAAGTCCCACCACCATATTTAACTGTGGGCATGATGTACTTTTCCATATGGCTACCTCCCTGTGTGCATCAAACCCACCTCTGGTGTTTATTGCTTTACCATAGAACCCAATCCCATTTGAAGCTCCAGTAAAGTCTGGCAAACTGCAGACGCTTGAGTTTGTTTTTGGACGAGAGTAGAGGCTTTTTTCTCGAAACACTTCCAAAACATTTGCGGTGATTTAGGTGACATCGGATTGTAGTTTTGGAGACTTTCTGATCCTAAGACCCAACTAACTTTCCAGCTGTGATTCTTGGAGATTTTTTGGCCACTCGAACTATCCTCCTGACAGTGCGTTGGGACAAGACAGACATGCGTCCTCTTCAGTGTTTTTGCTATTTTCTTATTGCTACTACCTATTTTGTGAAGCTCAACAACCTTTAGCTGCACATCACAGCCATGTTCTTTGGTCTTACCCATTGTGATGAATGACTAAGTGAGTTTGACCTATGCGTTACCTCTTATTTATACCCCTGTGAAACAGGTCCTGGTTGAACGATTTCCTGTTCCTAGTCACCCAGGTGTACTAAACAAAATGTAAAATATCAATGGGAATATACTTAACCATTTTGATCATATGAATTCATAGGGGTGCCAATAATTGTGGCACAGATTTATTTAACGAAGATATTTTTTTTGATAAAACTGGTTTGCAATTGTTTGTTTTCAATTAGAGCAGAGTTTTTCGTTAATATTTTAAGCAAAGGATCAAAAAATTAAACAATGCACATTTTTTTCATAGACTTCTTTGCTCATATTTACCAAGGGTGCCAATATTAGTGGAGTGCACTGTATAATTTGAAAGCTTAAAGACTCTAGTTTTCTTTTCTTTTTGGTGTCTGAATTTTGATATATTTCACAGAGCAACCACAATTAGTGTGCAACAAGAGCACTCATCAGAGTCAACGAGCGATTTCTGACCTTTATTTTGAAATAGCGATGCACATGGAAAATTATGAAAAATCTGTAAAAACATGTTAATTTTCATGCCAAGAATTCAAAAAATAACATCCATTCTATTATATATTTTTTTTAAAGTCTAAATAATGTTTTTAATATAAAGAACCATCGATAGATCCTCCGTTTATGATGCAGTGCGAACTATAACACACATCCAGGGTTGTCGCCGCATGTCATTTGTGTGTTTGTTAGATTTTTAGAGTTTGTTAGTTGAATTCAAATCAAATATACTCAAAAATCAACATCAAATACTGGTTGATTAGTCAAACTCATTTGTAGACCACTAGAACAGCTCCATACCCTCTATCCAACTCTTTATGAACTGATATTCAGTTTAGTGCAGTACAAAAATATTTTTTTCTAAGTACAGTAATTTTATAATTTGCTGAAATTTAGCATAGCATTAACCCGGTTAACAACAAGATCTCCCACTTTTTTTGAAATTTTACAGAAAATGTGACATCCCAAAAAACTGACAACTAGGAATTAACATTGTTTAGACCCTTTCTATAGCATAAGAAAATTTAATTCCATTTTCTAATTTTTTTTATTTTTATTTTGACAGCATTTGTCAAGTTAAAACTTTGACTTGGTTACTAAAAATATATAGTTAGTAAATAAATAAATTCCCCATCTAGCTAGTCTTAAAATAACAGGCTAAATTTGAAATGTATATATTTAGTGTATTGCCTCTGAAAAGAAATTAAAACTGCTCACATATTTAGTTTGATTTTGACATAAGGACAAGCACCTCCATTAGCGGATAAGAAAAAAAAAACCTCTTAAACCAGTTTCATGCCCTATTTCGTATCCTATTCCTGGCAAGTCCCTTTAGACAAAGCATTACTTACGACTTGGCCAAAGCTGAATGAAAGCAACCTGAGAGTTAGAAAGACTGAATGTTTTATTAACTCTTTTCATCATAGTTGTAAATCCTACACACAGATCCAAAACGCATTATGAGACGATTTAACCTTAAACGGTGATTAAGGCCTTGACGTCCCCTCAAAAAAAAAAAAAAAAAAAAACATTTTTTTTTAAAAAGAGGCCAGACAACCTTTTGCTGGATGTGTATGGCAGAACTGGAAAAAATAACTACCTACCAACCTTCAAGATGAAAAGATAAAGCTATACATATTTAAGATGCTATTGTAAAACCTAAAAGCCAAGCAGTTCCGTGCTCCACAGACCAAAGAGCCTGAGAAACATTTAAAACCCTTTCCATGAGTTGCAGAACTTAAACATAACATAAAAATATAAGCGCAGAACTGTAATTGCACCTTCAGAGCTATTGCCCCATATGACCCTTCTTCAACCTTTGGTTACATGACATTGATAGTAGATATTTTTGGTTCATGCCCATCTGGTGCTTTGAACAAAATATTCGGATGATATAATTCTTTATTCGTGTTGATTTTATGCACAACAAAATGGAATGAAGAAATGTAAAAAATCATAATATTTGGATTAAAGGAAGTACATAAGTACTTTAATGGCAAATAAAGTAGTATATAAAATATAACCCTTCTATACCCAATAAAAACAAAACATAAGAGAAAGACAACAAAATGGTCCCATGGAAACAATCATAACTGACGGTGGCGTTGTATGGGGCGGGCGCTATGTAACACAGCTCACTTCATGTTCAGGGTCTTTCCTCTGCATCCTTCGGCAGTACTAGTGTAAACCAGAGACACTCACGGTCTCCTCTGTAACAAGGCCTCTGAATTTTCCATAAGAAAGGAATCAAAGAATGGAGGCTCATGCATATATTTCAAAGTACACAACAAAAGTGTACCTTCAGATTAATCTCAGTGACTGATTATTATAAATATGATCCTTTACAGTAACTACAGGTACAGTACTGCAGTGCAGTGACTCACTACGATCACTACTTTAGCTTCAATGGGTTCAAAACATCTATGTGAACTGACTTTCTGTAGCAAATATTCAAACATCCCGTTCTCTTCATCAAACCACGTAAACATTTCACGAAAAGCGCTATACAAATAAACTTGAATTGAATTATATATTTAAAAAATCCTATAACTCAAAAATATCCGTTTTATTTTGACATTATCACTTTCAATATGCCAATAAACTGTTATAGATGCAATTTTTATAAAATTCTAGATCTTCAGAAAAGCTTGCCTTTGTTATGTACTCAAGTCTCTGGGAGGTTGAATTATTTTGATTGCGGCTGTATAGTCATTTAACTTATTTTATTTTTCTAATTTATGTTATTTATATAATCAATGCAATTTTTAATTAATGCCATTTCATGTATTTTTTAAAGACCCACTCAACTGAAACTTAAACCAAAAGGGGGCGATTACCTTGTGTAAAATGTGTGCAGCATAAAACTGGATGCTAAAACATGTCAACAGTTTAACTAATTTGCTCAGCAAGAATATTTCCAAATTGCTGCTCCATCACCACAGTAGTTGAACTTTAAAAACAACAACAGATGCCTGCTGCAGCACCCCTTGTGGCAAGACTGAGAATACGACATGTACATGACACATTTAATCTACTTGCATTCATAGGTTTTGAGCCAAAGACTGCAAATACAGAATACAAAACATGCTAGCATTAATGACAGAATCAGTAGTTCGTCATATGAATAGTGAGCTGGAGTGCAGGGGGAACTTCAGTAACTGGCTGCCAATACATTCCTGACCTCATTGGCTTGGAAGCAGAATGAAAACTCCACAGAGGGAGTAAGCAAGAAGCGGAGAAAGATGGGGGAAGGAGGGCGCCCCAGCAGACACTTGCGGTCCAATAAAGACTTCCAACAGTGACAGAGAGAGCTGGCCAAGGCCATCTGCTCCTCCCTGCACACCAACCCCTGAGCGCAGGCACTTACACGCACATGGAGCTCTATGATGTCAACGTCTCACCATCATAAACGTACACAAAAAGCACATGTGCACAAAAACAGAAGTTTTGAATTCATCTGTTGAATTTACTATTGTGATTGATGACTGGGATCACGTTAGCTGCCGTTCTTGCAGAATTCTAGACAATTCTAAAACTTTCACTCACACAGAGCTGTATTTGTGTTTACCTGGCAACACTTTGAGGCCTTGTATGATTTCTCGTCTGCGTGGCTGCACTGAGATTCTGTCATCGCACATCAGCAGGGCAAACATGATGAGAGCCACAAACTGACTTGTGTATGCCTGCAATAAACAAAAACACAGCACAAAATAGTTCACATGAGCTTAAAATGCAATTTGTATTAATTGTTACAAATGGGGGTCAATCCTACAGTATACTCTGGCCCACAGTGGCCCCACAAAGTAGTTGGACACTGAAGCCAGGTTAAAATAAGTACACGTATGGCATTAGAGAACTAAATATAAACCAAGAGGCATCTAATACACTTGTGGTTAACTCTGCTAGGACACTTGTTTGAATCGGAGGCTTCGAACATCAATAAAAAAAAAATCACTGCCACATCAATTAAAGTCATTGCAAAAATGTCTTCAAAAAGTTAGTTCATATAAGACACTTGCTTTAATATTCTGTATTCAAGGCAATGGCATTCAGACATTTTTAACACTGGTTGAAGTGTCCAGACACTTATTGGGGCCACCAAGATGTTTGACAGATGTTCTCCATGCACCAATTAAATAAAAACAGCAATTCCCAAGATGCATATTTGAGCTGCAGTCTCCTTCTATTAGAAAAAAAAGCACATTTATGAGCTACATTCTACACCAGGTCAAATGACAAAGTGGGAGAACTTGGGTTGCCAAAAACACTGTATTGTATTTCAGTCAGGTGTTATAAAAAATATAAAGAAAAAAGAAAACCAAAAATGTTTTGGTTGAATGATTTGCCAAATAAGACCAGGGAAACGAGTAAGAAAAGGTGCTTCCTATTTTTCTCTCCATGTCCATCTCTCACAAGTGCCTTTGATGCCAAAGCCTCTGTGGCTTGTAAATTGCTTTAACGGCATTCCTCAATGCATACGTTGTCACATTACATGTCTAAATGTAATCTGGTGCTATGCCATTATCTTTCAGACCATATTAAAGTCACTCTTGGTCAAATATGAAGCACATTTAGGAAGCATTCAGGACGTCTGACAACATGCTCTGGCTCACTTGCAGTTCTTTGAGTTCATGCAAGATACTTTCAGTGACAGTAGAGGAGCCCTGGACCAGACACCCACCCTTGCAAATTACTACCACATGAGCACTGATCCATAGACGCATTACTGTGTCGCTTACTATTTACAGATGCTTTTCATCTGTGACGGTTCACTACCTGCAGGGATAGAGTTCCTGTACCAATCTGAGGTTAAGTAGTTTGGTCAAAGGTGTGATGACTGGAATTGACAGATTATGATCTTGGTGAGTGATATTCCATTAAACAGCAAACGTTTTAACCAATTTACCAGAGTTCCAATGCACAGTAATCCAAACCCTCTGTGTGGTTTTAAAAGGCAACACGTTTCTCAATTAAACAGAAACCCAAACCTGGTGCAAACCTGAAGTTATACAGTGGGGAAAATATTTATTTAATCCCCTGCTGATTTAGTAAGTTTGCCCACTTACAAAAAAAATTAAGGATCTGTCATTTTTAATGGTAGGTTTATTTTAACGTATAGAGACAGAATACCAACCCAAAAATCTTGAAAAAAAACACATTATATAAAGGCTAGAAATTGATTTGCATTTCAGTGAGTGAAATAAGTGTTTTATCCCCAAGCAAAACATGACTTAGTACTTGGTGGAGAAACCCTTG